TGTATTATTGAGATGGATGTTTTTTTACTTTCTATTCTCTCTAAGATAATAAATATATTGCTTATAGTGATTAAGAGAGTCTATTAGTTGTTGGAAGGAGTAAATTGAAGTAATGTTGAGATATAAATACTGGAACGAAATTTGGTTGTACGAGCTGGAATAGGGTACGTCCAATATTAGTCTCCGGGTGTCATATACTTCCATCCAATTTACAAAACATATAATCCTAAACTGCTAACACAAGCTCCGCCCAGCTCAAAGCCCAGCCTTTAATTCACTCAAATATTGGTAAAGTCATTCTTTAAAAATATACCATAATATTAGTTATGTTATATTTATTTAGGATGGTAAAATGGATATAAATAACAAACGATAATATTTACCATGTAACTCCATCTAGCGCAAACAAACACCCTGATTATATCATTTTTGTTTTAACATCATTTTTAAAGGGATTTTATTATATTTGTGAGTAGTTTTATATTTGATTAAGGTAGAAAAAAGTAATAAAGAAAGCCAAATAACTATACTAATCCAGTAATTCACAGACACTAGAGGAGATAAAAAATAGACACTGGAAAACACTCTCTCAATTCTAGGGACCCACAAACTGAAAAAAAACAAGAATATTGGTCCTAACTAAACCTAATGAAACACCACCTACATCCCACTGACACAGCCTAACAAATAAACGACTTCTTCTCAACCATAGATCTAATCTCGCCAATAAAATCCCACATACCCAATGCCCATTGCATTGCCGGGGACCTACCTAGATAGGAATTTCCCAAATTCCAGCTATCTTGCAACCAACTGAGGCCCTCGGAAGTTCACCGAGATGTTATAAAAGTCACTTAAAAACAAACTCAGGAATCTGTCTAATGGTCCCACCATTACTGTACAAGCGAGTGGCCCATATCCTTTCGCATGCTAATTTCATTACTTTTAACAAGTCACTAGAAACCTAGCAACCTTCCCGCGAAACTACTCAAGATGGCAAGGGTTTACACCAATACATAAAGGAGGTGGACCCTACAGACTTAAACAACTTATAGGCCCAATATCACAAACTTACCATTGCTAATCCCCAAAATCTTTGAGAAACTCGTGCACAGGAGACTATATTCATTATAACAGCACAAAACATACTCTAACCCCTGCCAATTTGGATTCAGGAAAAATAAAAGCACTAATGATGCAAATTCATAAAAAGCTAGATCTGCTTTAACCACAGCATTTGGAAAATAAGGAAATCCACTAGGAAATTTTTATTGAACCTAAGAAAAGCTTATGACACAGTAGACCACGACCATCCTACTCCACAAACTTGACCATTAACGGTATAAGAGGCCATGCGCTTTGCATATTTCCAATCTACTTACTATAGTAATCAGTATGTCACCATTAAAGACACAGCATCCAACATCACGGCCACTTTGATACTGGAGGTTCCGCATGGAAGTGTCCTTGGTCCCCATGCTCTTCCTCATATACATCAATGATCTTCAAACGTATCCCAACACCTGAAACCCATTCCTTTGCTGACGACACGGCGACTTAAGTCATCTCTCTACGTCTTCACCCTAATCTTGCAACCCTCACACCATTGTTAACGAGGAGCTGATCAAAATATCGACTTGATGAACAGCCAATAAACTTACGCCTTAAACAACTGACAAAACCTACTATATTAATGTTTGGTAGTAGAGCAAGGGAGATGCACAAATTAACTTAAGGATCGACAACACTGCTAAATAACCAGCATAATGAGGGCAAATTCCTAGGCCTATACCTTGACAACACCTGAATTTCAGCATCCAGATCCAACACATAACCAAAAAAGTTCCAAAACGGTTGGGGGATCCCTCCGGATACGATACTAAGTGCCGCAAAATGCCCTTCTCACATCTCACACTATAACCCACACATTATTTATCCATACCTCACCTATGCTATTTGGTGCTTGGGATCTACTGCAGCAACACACCTAAAGCCAATAATAACCCAACAAAAAGACTGCAGTAAGAATAATCACTAAACCCCATCCCTGGCAACACACCCCCCCCCACTCTTCATAGATCTAAACCTACCTCCCTGTTCAGTACGATCCACACTTACTACTGTGCAATCTACATCACAGGACCTTAAACTCCAATATCACCTTGACCTAAAACGCTTTCTTCTTGAATTGTGACAAGAACCCACAGGCATAACACCAGACACAAACATCTCTACGAATTCCCCGTGTCCGCCTAAACCTTTACAAAAATTCTATGTATTCAAAGGCCCTAAAATCTGGAACACCCAACCGTGAGAACTTCATAGAACTGCAGACACATTCATCAACTGTTCAAAACTAACCATTAGAAAACATCTTATCACCATAAACCCATCAACACTACACTAATACCACCTGGTGTTCACACTTAACACTCACTCACACCATTGACCATAAAACAGAATATTAATCTCAATCTTAAAAAATGAAATCCTATGAATTCCGAATACTAAAACTATGTACTGTGCCAAAACGAAAAAGCATTCACATTGCTAAACTCACAAACTAGTATTTAGTCACTTAGCCATAATACCAACTTACCTCATAATTTGTAATTTTTTAAAATAAAGAATTAAACTAAGTCTGGCCGAAATGCCTAGCCATGCTAGGCGTTCTAGTGGTACACTCTGTAATCATTATTTAACTACATGTAAACCACACAACAACCAAATTCTGTAAATTCAACATTGTAATCTTTAGAGAGAATAAACTTTGAATTTGAATTTGAAAAAGACCCAGAGAGAACTGCGGCTACCCTAGTGTACCATGGAGTGAACGCCCCAGACACGCTGTTACTCGTGATAACAACATATCCTCCTCCTCGTTAGTGTCCACGATTAGGAGTGGATTTGTGTGCATATTCATAAGTATACCTCTGAATGTACATATGTGTATAATGCGTCCAGCATGCACATGTAAATCACCTAAAACCCCTAATAACCCAGGAAAAGGCAGCAGTAAGAATGATAACAAATTCCCACTCCCGCTAGCATACTCCACCAATTTTCAGAAGTCTGAATCTGCTCATCATTAAGAACATCCATACTTATTCATGTGCCTACTACATACACAGAACAATACACGCAAATATAAACCCTCCACTCAAACTTCTCACCAACCTAAACAGGACACATGACCACAACACAAGGCACAGATCTCTTTTTGATATACCTCGTGTCCATATCACACTGTGTAAAAACTCTATGCACATAAAGGGCCCCAAAATATGGAATTCATTACCAGAAGATATTAAAGTAACCCGGTCTAAAAATCGATTTCAGACTTTTCTCAAAAGCCACTTAATCACCCTAGACTAAATGCTAAATTCTCAGTACACACATACTTACCTATGTACTCCCACATCATAACTTCAACAATCACTTTGAACCTTTTATCCATTGTTGACAGGAATATAACTGAATCATTGTTTTCACAAAAAGCATTTTTGAATATATGTATATATCTTTTGTCTTATACAAATTTTGATTCACTTATAATTAATAATCTACTGTACAACTATGAAATAATTACTATCCTACTGTACAACTAGGATATAATCCTTAGTGTTAAGTAGCCTGTAAGTCAATAATGTTAAGTTGGCCCATTACAAAAATTCAATGTATTTCAAAGGACCTAAAGTCTGGAACACCCTACCTGAAAATTCTAGAACTGCAGACGTATTCATCACTTTCAAAACTACAGTTAGAAAACATCTTATCTCCCTGATCCACCCCGACAACTAACTACATGATAACCACCTGGTGGTTCACAGTTACACTCACTCACCCACTGACTATAACCCCAGAAATGCTAATCTTAAAATAATAAATCCTAACTAGTCATAAGTTTGCCTATGATACTCCAATATAGACACCTTGTATTGTGCCAAAACAAAAGCATTCACATTGCTAAACTCACAAATTATGATGTAGTCACTTAGCCTTAATACTATAATCTGTAAGGATTTAATGTTAAGAATTAATCTAAGTCTGCTCGAAATGCCTAGCCATGCTAGGTGTCCGAGTGGCCCCCTCTGTAATTAGTATTTTATAACATGTAAACCACACAATACCCAAAACCTGTAAACCCCACATTGTAACCATTATAGAGAATAAACTTGAATTAAATTGAATTGAATGCCTAGGCATAATGGAGGCTCTCCTTGCATTGCAACCCACTATTGTAAATACAAAATCTCAATGTACTGTTTGCAAAGACATAAAATAAATAAAATAAATAAAATAAAATAAAATGAAATAAATTCAATGTTCATGTTACAGACGGCGTTGTCGCTTATGAGACGCGCCAGATGAAATGTCCAGAACAGTGCTTGAGCAGCCAATGCTGCAACATTGCAAAGCCCTTTCTCCTTCGGGAGCCAGGGACGAGTCTTCGCAAGATTAAGACCCGTCAGCATGACTCACGAAATCGTAATGGCACGATTGCAAGCAAACCCCATCCGTGGTATGGTTTATTAAGACCCGTGCCAGGACCCCGGCCTTGGCGAACGTTATACGTACATACTTACATACATGCCTGTGCTCCAGAATCTTTACGACTACGGTGCTCTTCACATCAACTCCAAGCCTGATGGACTGATTATCTCATCTTTTGTATATAGTTCTACTGTCTTCCATTCATCTCCTTGAATTTGTATTGATAAAGCCACTGGATGGCGAAACGTCTACAATAAAGATACAAATGTTCATATCCAAGTGTTACAAATGTGTCTCATTTATCAAGGCTTCAGAATCACTGATTCCCGGAACCATCAACAGGTAGTGTTATTGTTAATTAATAGACAGTATTGCCTGCTGTTAATTAACAGACAGTATTACCTGCTGTTAATTAATAGACAGTATTATCTGCTGTTAATTAAGACTATTACCTGCTGTTAATTAATAGACAGTATTACCTGCTGTTAATTAATAAACAGTATTACCTGCTGTGATATCTGACGCTGAACCACGAAGCAATGTCCGCTTCTGGAAGTGCACAGGATGCACCTTCCTCCACGAAGATACAAAACACTTAGGGACTGAGTACACACATCAATGCCTGTCATTGGTTGGATGCTGGTGGAATAGTACCCGTGACTATCTTATCTTGAATTCTTTGTGATAAGGGCATCGCATTCATGAAGATACCCTAGTTGCTACTCATGGCACATATCTAAATGACAGGAGTCTAAAGCGACTTTGTTCTGTGACCTTCAATTATCTCTGTACATCCACAGTAACAGCTGACTAATTTTAACTACAGGCTTTTCAGAAAGTGACGCACTCCTGAACAGTATATTACATAACAAATGCCAAGGCATGATAGTAGCTCTCTTTGCACTACACATCAATGTAAACCCTTCACTGTAAACTACCTATGTAAATATATTTCTTAAAATATGTCAGCCACATTGTAAACTTGCAAGGGAATGAGGAATTTGAATATGAATTTGAATATGCTGGTCATCGTGATGTTGAAACGTGTACTTGACGAATAGTTTTGTTCTCATAATTTGCTCTCATTGAATGCTATCTACTGCATGACCAATGTTGACAGATCAATGCATTGGTTTCTGTAATATGTGAGCCAGACCTAAACTTATGTACCTCCCCTGAAAAATCATTATTGGCTGTTTATCTCTCAAATATAGTGCAAAACTCTATGGGTCTCACCAATCTAGTTTCATCTGGTTGGCCTTATATATGAAGAACGTTGAGTATTTACAACTGTGTCTCCTCCACACTGTGTCCACACTGTCTCCTCCACACTGTGTCCACACTGTCTCCTCCACACTGTGTCCACACTGTCTCCTCCACACTGTGTCCACACTGTCTCCTCCACACTGTGTCCACACTGTCTCCTCCACACTGTGTCCACACTGTCTCCTCCACAGTGTCCACACTGTCTCCTCCACACTGTCTCCTCCACAGTGTCCACACTGTCTCCTCCAGTGTCCACACTGTCTCCTCCACACTGTGTCCACACTGTCTCCTCCACACGTGTTCCACACTGTCTCCTCCACTGTGTCCACACTGTCTCCTCCACAGTGTCCACACTGTCTCCTCCACACTGTGTCCACACTGTCTCCTCCACAGTGTCCACACTGTCTCCTCCACACTGTCTCCTCCACAGTGTCCACACTGTGTCCACACTGTCTCCTCCACACTGTCTCCTCCACAGTGTCCACACTGTCTCCTCCAGTGTCCACACTGTCTCCTCCACAGTGTCCACACTGTCTCCTCCACACTGTGTCCACACTGTCTCCTCCACACTGTGTCCACACTGTCTCCACAGTCTCTTGACGAAATGACTTTTCCATAGGGGTTCTTGAGATGTGATGATGACTAAGTATAAGATTAGATTTGAAAAGAAATAAGGAACTTGCAATTATAACTTGGAAGTAGGATATTATTATACACTGAGATAGGATTAAGTGTATAGATAGCTGAGATAGGATTAAGTTGAAGATTGAGACACTAATGCAATATATGGGAATCTTTATTAAGGAAACGTTTCACCACACAGTGGCTTCATCAGTCTCATACAAAGCAGAGAGGGGTAAGGAGAGGAGGAGTTTGAGGTAATCAGTCTCTCGGCCTGGAATCGATGTGTTCAGTCCATCACTCTTGTGGTTTTCAAAACCATTTATTACATCTGTCAGACACTGCAACATCATGGGAACTTGATACAAGGAATTCTTCAATACTTGTCCAACCTTTCGACGAAGATCTACTTACACTAGTGGATGATTCCACTGTGATCCCGTCTCCTCCTGCTTCCACCTACCTGACTACAGTATATAAGCCACTTCTTCTGCCATATGCTGTACTTTCTACAAGAGTGATGAACTGAACACATCGATTCCAGGCTGAGGGACTGATTACGTCAAAGTCCTTCTCTCCTTACCCCTCTCTGCGTTGTAATGGACTGATGAAGCCACTATGCGGAGAAATGTTTCCTTCATAAAGATTCCCACATGTTGCATAAGTGTCTCAGTCTTCAACTTGTCGGTTTTCAAAACCGTTTATCACATAGGATTAATCACCCACAACTAAATAAATACTGAATAATTGTATCACATAAATGTTTAACCTGTGACCCTATCAAACTTTGTTTTTTTTAATTACATTACCTAACAGAATACTCCATTCTACTGAATGCACAGCAACTCAGTAACTGACCATATGACCTGTCTTTGAAATACTCATTTGTGCTTAATTGTCATCTGTTTACAATAATGTTTTACCACTGAATATATCATTGCTTAGTTAATCTTAAGTTAATTTTAAGCCTGCCCATAATGCTCTGCATACAAGGGGCTTTTGGCATTTTACACTTAACCACTGTATTTCTTTGCATCTATGTATCATGTCCAAATTAATAGTAAATAAATAAATAAATAAAAGTGTATAGACAGAGGGTGTTTGCAATTTGTGATGACTGTGATGTCTGACTTTTGGGGGTTACCCTAGGTAATTTATACTTAGTATGATAATTATACTTATGTGTACCTGTGCCTACATAAACTTTACTTAGTGTGGATATGAAATGCGTCTCAATATTTGAAAATAATGAGAAACAGTAATGGTGCGCAAGCGCAGGCGGGTGTGACAGCGCCACACTGGTACTAAAGGGGCTTTTCCACGCACATCTACACCCGCTTCTCTCTTCTCTCACAAATTACAATATACAGAACACTGTCATCATACCAGATGGAAGCAGCTGGGTGCCCCGAGTGTTCATAACTATCGTACCAGTAGTCGCTGGATGCTGAAACAAATATAAGTGAGAAAATAGAGATTGTGGAGTTGGTACAAAAGTCTCTCAGGAAACTCTTGTAAACAAACTACAATGGATGTGATGCAAGATCAAGTGAGTACAACTGTTGCAGCCTTTGTTGCTCCACCACCTCACACTACCTTACCTACCTACACTTATTAATAGAAAAAGAAAGCACATGCTAACGGTTGTACTCCTGAGTCACACACAGTTTAATACCTGTATTATGCACCCCATACCCATCCTGTGGGCAGTAGTCAAAGAATTATAGAGGTACATAATGGGTCCAGGAACTAGACCCCAAAGTTTTGGTAGCAGAACAAGTTACAAGGTAATGAATTCCAAGTAGATCTGGTCACAATCAGTATGATTCAAGTGTGACCTATGACTGCTGGGTATCAGCAGAGCTGAACTGCCAATGTATCAGTAATGTAGTAGTGGTGTAGTATGGGCACCCCTTGTGTTGGGTTGCCATTGATGCAAAGAGTTGTGATGCCCTGAGTATTTTGCTTTTCTGATCCCACTTTTTGTTACATAGTTTTTTTTTTTAGTTAAAATTAATGCCAATATAATTTTCTTACATAATTTTGTTTATTTCATTGAGCACAGCCACACTTCTCACCCTCCCTTTCCCCCATACACCCTAATTTTCTACGTAAAATTACTTTTTCTTTAAATTGCTCACAATTTTCTTAATGCCAATACTTTTTCTTTTTTTATATATATTGCTTTCTTTTTATTTCTGGCTCTTCTAGTGCCATATTGCTTCACCCCAGAAGCTGACTTTGGCTTGGGAGGAGGAATAGAGGATCCGTAAAGAAATAATCTACGCTGCTTGACTTTCTTGGGTTATGTGTTAGTATTCTGAAGAACATCTTAACGATATGACTCAACGTATATGAGGAACTAAGAATAATTTAATAAAACATAATTTTTAATGGTTTCATCAGCAGTTGCTTCTTATTAGACAGCCTCACCTCCTCTCTTATTGTGCATTTGATTATAGTTAACTACATAAGAAATCATACTTAATAGTCTATGTCTAACTCTTAATAGTATTTATGCACTAAGATTAGTTTACCTGAAATGCATTGCATACTGGTGGCTTTCTTTTGTGCCTACCAATGTTTTATTACATATAAACTACATTATTTTGTACTGAATAAAAGAAAGAAAATTGTATTTGTGTAAAAGTTTCTTTTTGATTTTAGGGCTCAGACTGCCCAGTCCAGTTAATGTTGCTGTAGGCTTGAGAATTGATTTTCTTGCACTGTTAATTGAACGAGTACTGCTGATGCCACTCTTGTACTGTTCCAGTATAATAATGAAACAGATGCATATTTAGATTCATAAAACAGCAGCATATAGGGCTTTTGTAGTATTTACGGTAATTACAAATGGTTTTATAATTTTCTTTTGCTTTCAGGACCGCCGTGTTAAAACGCTGCGGCGTGAGCTGGAAGGCTGGCGCGAGGTGCTGTGTTTCATGCACTCGCTACTCATATGGGAAAAACACTATTATCCATTTATATCTATATCAGCAGTCACAACACTGTTTCTGTAAGACAATACTGATGATCTTGATGATTTTCTGTACGTTTCTAAACCTTAAATATTATTATATAACATTTAGTTGTGTGAGGAGGATCTGAAAACTCATATGATATACAGTATTGCAAGCAGAATAAAAGCTTTTATACCATCAGTGGGGCAATTGAGACCAAAAATATTAAAAGTTATTCACGTGTTAACATAGGCATTGGACATGTCCTGTCTAAGGGCAATGTGTGGTGTAAATATTATGCAGAGAATTTGGAGTGTGGAAATTAGGTGTGGAGTTACTAAAAGTATTAGAGGGCTGAAGAGGGGTTGTTGAGGTGGTTTGGTCATTTAGAGAGAATGGATCAAAGTAGAATGACTTGGAGAGCATAGAAATCTGTAGGGGAAGGAAGGCGGGGTAGGGGTCGTCCTCGAAAAGGGAGGGAGGGGGTAAAGGAGGTTTCATGGGCAAGGGGTTTGGACTCCCAGCAATCACATGTGAGCATGTTAGACAGGAGTGAATGGAAATGAATGGTTTTTGGGACCTGACGAGCTGTTGGATTGTGAGCAGGGTAATATTTTGTGAAGGGATTCAGGGAAACCAGTGAGCCGGAGTTGAGTCCTGGAAATGGGAAGTACATTACATGACATTACACATCCCTGTCTAAGACCTACTTTTACCAGGAAGTAATCTCCCTCTCTCCTACACGCCCTAAATGCAGATGTATTCAAAATAAATTAATGTATTGTAAAAACTAATAAAGTTTTGAAATGTACATACACGAGAAAATGCAACCTAATTCCCTTATACTTATTTTATTATCACACTGGCCGATTCCCACCAAGGCAGGGTGGCCCGAAAAAGAAAAACTTCCACCATCATTCACTCCATCACTGTCTTGCCAGAAGGGTGCTTCACACTACAGTTTTTAAACTGCAACATTAACACCCCTCCTTCAGAGTGCAGGCACTGTACTTCCCATCTCCAGGACTCAAGTCCGGCCTGCCGGTTTCCCTGAACCCCTTCATAAATGTTACTGTGCTCACACTCCAACAGCACGTCAAGTATTAAAAACCATTTGTCTCCATTCACTCCTATCAAACACGCTCACGCATGCCTGCTGGAAGTCCAAGCCCCTCGCACACAAAACCTCCTTTACCCCCTCCCTCCAACCTTTCCTAGGCCGACCCCTACCCGCCTTCCTTCCACTACAGACTGATACACTCTTGAAGTCACTCTGTTTCGCTCCATTCTCTCTACACATGTCTGAACCACCTCAACAACCCTTCCTCAGCCCTCTGGACAACAGTTTTGGTAATCCCGCACCTCCTCCTAACTTCCAAACTACGAATTTTCTGCATTATATTCACACCACACATTGCCCTCAGACATGACATCTCCACTGCCTCCAGCCTTCTCCTCGCTGCAACATTCATCACCCATGTCACACCCCATATAAGTGCGTTGGTAAAACTATACTCTCATACATTCCCCTCTTTGCCTCCAAGGACATAGTTCTTTGTCTCCACAGACTTCTAAGTGCACCACTTACCCTTTTCCCCTCATCAATTCTGTGATTCACCTCATCTTTCATAGACCCATCCGCTGACACGTCCACTCCCAAATATCTGAATACATTCACCTCCTCCATACTCTCTCCCTCCAATCTGATATCCAATCTTTCATCACCTAATCTTTTTGTTATCCTCATTACCTTACTCTTTCCTGTATTCACTTTTAATTTTCTTCTTTTGCACACCCTACCAAATTCATCCACCAACCTCTGCAGCTTCTCTTCAGAATCTCCCAAGAGCACAGTGTCATCAGCAAAGAGCAACTGTGACAACTCCCACTTTATGTGTGATTCTTTATCTTTTAACTCCACGCCTCTTGCCAAGACCCTCACATTTACTTCTCTTACAACCCCATCTATAAATATATTAAACAACCACGGTGACATCACACATCCTTGTCTAAGGCCTACTTTTACTGGGAAATAATTTCCCTCTTTCCTACATACTCTAACTTGAGCCTCACTATCCTCGTAAAAACTCTTCACTGCTTTCAGTAACCTACCTCCTACACCATACACCTGCAACATCTGCCACATTGCCCCCCTATCCATCCTGTCATATGCCTTTTCCAAATCCATAAATGCCACAAAGACCTCTTTAGCCTTATCTAAATACTGTTCACTTTTATGTTTCACTGTAAACACCTGGTCCACACATCCCCTACCTTTCCTAAAGCCTCCTTGTTCATCTGCTATCCTATTCTCCGTCTTACTCTTAATTCTTTCAATAATAACTCTACCATGCACTTTACTAGGTATACTCAACAGACTTAGCCCCCTATAATTTTTGCACTCTCTTTTGTCCCCTTTGCCTTTATACAAAGGAACTATGCATGCTCTCTGCCAATCCCTAGGTACCTTACCCTCTTCCATACATTTATTAAATAATTGCACCAACCACTCCAAAACTATATCCCCACCTGCTTTTAACATTTCTATCTTTATCCCATCAATCCCGGCTGCCTTACCCCCTTTCATTTTACCTACTGCCTCACGAACTTCCCCCACACTCACAACTGGCTCTTCCTCACTCCTACAAGATGTTATTCCTCCTTGCCCTATACACGAAATCACAGCTTCCCTATCTTCATCAACATTTAGCAATTCCTCAAAATATTCCCTCCATCTTCCCAATACCTCTAACTCTCCATTTAATAACTCTCCTCTCCTAATTTTAACTGACAAATTCATTTGATCTCTAGGCTTCCTTAACTTGTCAATCTCACTCCAAAACTTTTTCTTATTTACATGTACATATAAATAAAGCATGGAAATTAATAATTTTTTAGTCCGATGTTTTGGTCTGGATATAAACTGTTTACGTTAGATAAAACATAATGTAAATACCATTTGTAATATATACGTATTTTTTACAGTTCAATATGGTATATAGAGCCTTCAATGCTGACCTTATTCTCAGTGATGGGCATCACAGTAACCCTCTGTGATTATTTGGTACCACAGGTTAGTTTAGGAAGAATATGTCTGGTATTGTATGTTCGTGAGTACATGAATGGGACAACACCTGTGCTTTCACATTTTTATATATTTTTTATATAGTTTTCAGTAGTTGTTGCATGTAAAATCTTATCTTGAAGTCTAGTTCACTTGAAACTATAATTAAAATATGCTTTTGGAAAAAGTACATCTTGCTACCATTTTTACACGGCTTATGCAGTTTAGTTGTTTGTGTCTTCCCTGTTGTTGGTTTGTGCCCTGTTGCTGGTGAAAGGCTCTTAATCCGAATCATCCTCAGATCAAACCTGATTGCCTCCCATTCCCCAGGCTTTGATCCCAACTGGTTTAGTTCTTTCTCTTCAATGTAATAATAATAATAATAATAATAATAATATATAAAACTGGGATACTTGAATGTGCGTGGATGACAAGAAACATGATTGCTGATGTTATGAATGAAAAGAAGTTGGATGTCCTGGCCCTAAGCGAAACAAAGCTGAAGGGGGTAGGGGAGTTTCGGTGGGGGGAAATAAATGGGATTAAATCTGGAGTATCTGAGAGAGTTGGAGCAAAGGAAGGGGTAGCAGTAATGTTGAAGGATGAGTTATGGAAGGAGAAAAGAGAATATGAATGTGTAAATTTAAGAATTATGTGGATTAAAGTAAAGGTTGGATGCGAAAAGTGGGTCATAATAAGCGTGTATGCACCTGGAGAAGAGAGGAATGTAGAGGAGAGAGAGAGATTTTGGGAGATGTTAAGTGAATATATAGGAGCCTTTGAACCAAGTGAGAGAGTAATTGTGGTAGGGGATCTGAATGCTAAAGTAGGAGAAACTTTTAGAGAGGGTGTGGTAGGTAAGTTTGGGGTGCCAGGTGTAAATGATAATGGGAGCCCTTTGATTGAAATTTGTATAGAAAGGGGTTTAGTTATAGGTAATACATATTTTAAAAAAAAGAGGATAAATAAGTATACAAGATATGATGTAGGGTGAAATGACAGTAGTTTGTTGGATTATGTATTGGTAGATAAAAGACTGTTGAGTAGACTTCAGGATGTACATGTTTATAGAGGGGCCACAGATATGTCGGATCACTTTCTAGTTGTAGCTACACTGAGAGTAAAAGGTAGATGGGATACAAGGAGAATAGAAGCATCAGGGAAGAGAGAGGTGAAGGTTTATAAACTAAAAGAGGAGGTAGTTAGGGTAAGATATAAACAGCTATTGGAGGATAGATGGGCTAATGAGAGCATAGGCAATGGGGTCGAAGAGGTATGGGGTAGGTTTAAAAATGTAGTGTTAGAGTGTTCAGCAGAAGTTTGTGGTTACAGGAAAGTGGGTGCGGGAGGGAAGAGGAGCGATTAGTGGAATGATGATGTAAAGAGAGTAGTAAGGAGAAAAAGTTAGCATAAGAGAAGTTTTTACAAAGTAGAAGTGATGCAAGGAGGAAAGAGTATAGGGAGAAAAAGAGAGAGGTTAAGAGAGTGGTGAAGCAATGTAAAAAGAGCAAATGAGAGAGTGGGTGAGATGTTATCAACAAATTTTGTTGAAAATAAGAAAAAGTTTTGGAGTGAGATTAACAAGTTAAGGAAGCCTAGAGAACAAATGGATTTGTCAGTTAAAAATAGGAGAGGAGAGTTATTAAATGGAGAGTTAGAGGTATTGGGAAGATGGAGGGAATATTTTGAGGAATTGTTAAATGTTGATGAAGATAGGGAAGCTGTGATCTCGTGTATAGGGCAAGGAGGAATAACATCTTGTAGGAGTGAGGAAGAGCCAGTTGTGAGTGTGAGGGAAGTTCGTGAGGCAGTAGGTAAAATGAAAGGGGGTAAGGCAGCCGGGATTGATGGATAAAGATAGAAATGTTAAAAGCAGGTGAGGATATAGTTTTGGAGTGGTTGGTGCAATTATTTAATAAATGCATGGAAGAGGGTAAGGTACCTAGGGATTGGCAGAGAGCATGCATAGTTCCTTTGTATAAAGGCAAAGGGGACAAAAGAGAGTGCAAAAATTATAGGGGGATAAGTCTGTTGAATTAAGAGTAAGATGGAGAATAGGATAGCAGATGAACAAGGAGGCTTTAGGAAAGGTAGGGGGTGTGTGGACCAGGTGTTTACAGTGAAACATATAAGTGAACAGTATTTAGATAAGGCTAAAGAGGTCTTTGTGGCATTTATGGATTTGGAAAAGGCGTATGACAGGGTGGATAGGGGGCAATGTGGCAGATGTTGCAGGTGTATGGTGTAGGAGGTAGGTTACTGAAAGCAGTGAAGAGTTTTTACGAGGATAGTGAGGCTCAAGTTAGAGTATGTAGGAAAGAGGGAAATTATTTCCCAGTAAAAGTAGGCCTTAGACAAGGATGTGTGATGTCACCGTGGTTGTTTAATATATTTATAGATGGGGTTGTAAGAGAAGTAAATGCGAGGGTCTTGGCAAGAGGCGTGGAGTTAAAAGATAAAGAATCAAACATAAAGTGGGAGTTGCCACAGTTGCTCTTTGCTGATGACACTGTGCTCTTGGGAGATTCTGAAGAGAAGTTGCAGAGATTGGTGGATGAATTTGGTAGGGTGTGCAAAAGAAGAAAATTACAAGTGAATACAGGAAAGAGTAAGGTTATGAGGATAACAAAAAGATTAGGTGATGAAAGATTGGATATTAGATTGGAGGGAGAGAGTATGGAGGAGGTGAATGTATTCAGATATTTGGGAGTTGACGTGTCAGCGGATGGGTCTATGAAAGATGAGGTGAATCATAGAATTGATGAGGGAAAAGGGTGAGTGGTGCACTTAGGAGTCTGTGGAGACAAAGAACTTTGTCCTTGGAGGCAAAGAGGGGAATGTATGAGAGTATAGTTTTACCAACGCTCTTATATGGGTGTGAAGCATGGGTGATGAATGTTGCAGCGAGGAGAAGGCTGGAGGCAGTGGAGATGTCATGTCTGAGGGCAATGTGTGGTGTGAATATAATGCAGAGAATTCGTAGTTTGGAAGTTAGGAGGAGGTGCGGGATTACCAAAACTGTTGTCCAGAGGGCTGAGGAAGGGTTGTTGAGGTGGTTCGGACATGTAGAGAGAATGGAGCGAAACAGAATGACTTCAAGAGTGTATCAGTCTGTAGTGGAAGGAAGGCGGGGTAGGGGTCGGCCTAGGAAAGGTTGGTGGGAGGGGGTAAAGGAGGTTTTGTGTGCGAGGGGCTTGGACTTCCAGCAGGCATGAGTGAGCGTGTTTGACAGGAGTGAATGGAGACAAATGCTTTTTAATACTTGACGTGCTGTTGGAGTGTTAGCAAAGTAACATTTATGAAGGGGTTCAGGGAAACCGGCAGGCCGGACTTGAGTCCTGGAGATGGGAAGTACAGTGCCTGCACTCTGAAGGAGGGGTGTTAATGTTGCAGTTTAAAAACTGTAGTGTAAAGCACCCTTCTGGCAAGACAGTGATGGAGTGAATGATGGTGAAAGTTTTTCTTTTTCGGGCCACCCTGCCTTTGTGGGAATCGGCCAGTGTGATAATAATAATAATAATAAATAATAATAATAATAATAATAATAATAATATCTATCATTATCATCATACAGCCTCTCCTCACTAAACGATGGAGTTCCGTTCCTAAGACCACGTCAGTAAACGAATTTGTCGCTAAGTGAGGAGCATAGTGTAATGGGAGTTTGTTTGTGTCAACCATCTTTGATATTGTTTTAATGTCACTTTTGTACCATTTATAACATTTTTGGTATACATACTTTTAAATGTTTATACACAGTAGTGTACTGTATATTGTAATAAACAGAATAGAGGAAATCAGCTCTAATACACATTATTTAGGTATGCATACTGGTCAGAGAGCCCATCGTAAGTCTGAATCATTGGTAACAAGTACATTGCAAAGTGAGGAAAAGCTGTAATAATAATAACAACAGCAATAACACTGATTCCCAAAGATTTTTCTTTCTAATAGCCTTTAGTAAGCTTCAGTTTGGTTATATCCTCTTTATCTTTCTATGAAATCAGATTTAAGGTTTCCAGTCTTCATACAGCTCTTTACCTAATTCTAGATCCATTTTGTTGCATGAATGGACTAATTTTATGTTTATATGTCATATCTGTGCACCTCTGGCAAGACAGTGATAACCTGGAGTTTACCTGGAGAGAGTTTCGGGGGTCAACGCCCCCGCGGCTCGGTCTGTGACCAGGCCTCCTTAGGTCAGTGTCCCAGGATGCAACCCACACCAGTCGACTAACACCCAGGTACCCATTTTACTGATGGGGAACATGGACAACAGGTGGAAAGAAACACGTCCAATGTTTCTACTCTGGCTGGGAATCGAACCCAGGCCCTCACCGTGTGAAGCGAGAGCGTTAACCACCAGGCCACCAGAGTGAGTGATGGTGAATATTTCTTTTTTGGGTCACTCTGCCTCAGTGGAAGATGGCCAGCATGTTAAAAAAAAAAAAGTTTTTAAACTTAAATACCACATAAGAGACATGCTTTCTACTTTAGCTATAATATATTTGCTTATACAGTGGACCCCCGGTTAACGATTTTAATCCGTGCAAGAGGGGTAATTGTTATGCGAAATAATCGTTATGTGAATGATTTTTCCCCATAAGAAATAATGGAAATAAAATTAATCCGTGCAAGACACCCAAAAGTATGAAAAAAAAATTTTTACCACATGAAATATACATTTTCCCACACACAAAGAGAAGGATACATGCACAATAGTAGAGTAGTACATGCACAATATATATTGTGCATGTACTACTCTACTAAATGAAGAATAAATGACACTTACCTTTATTGAAGATGCAGCAATGACTGATGAGACACTGTGTCCTGGGAGTGCCTTTTCCTCCTGAGTACTGTAGGTCCTGTTTGGCATTTTCTTCCAGAACAGGCCTTATCACACTGTGTATGCCACTACGATTCTTAAATCTCTCAAACCAACCTTTGCGGGCTTTAAATTCACCAATATGAGCACTAGTTCCAGGCATTTTTCCCTGTTCACCTGGGTGTTAGTCGACTTGTGTGGGTTGCATCCTGGGAGACAGATTAAGGACCCCAATGGAAATAAGTTAGACAGTCTTCGATGACACTGACTTTTTTGGGTTATCCTGGGTGGCAAATCCTCTGGGGTTAATTGTTTCTTGGTATTCTCAATAAGCCACACCAACAACGGTGCTACAGCAGCAGCAGCAGCTGACAGTGCAGCAGCAGCAGCAGCTGTACCACCAATAGTAGCGATGGTTGATTGGGTTTATTATACAACCTGGCCAGCTCGGAGACATGCACTCCACTTTCATACTTATCAATGATCTTTTTCTTCATCTCTATTGTAATTCTCACCCTTATTGCTGTAGGGTTGGCACTAGAAGCTTTCTTGGGGCCCATGGTCACTTATTTTCCAGAAAAAGCACCGAAAACACTGTAATAATACGAAATATTCCGATTGTATGCTTGGATGTTACCGCGGAGGCTGGCTGGTAAACAATGCCACCGGCGGAACATGTGAGCGTGGCTCAGGCCGCACATTGGACGCGTCTCGGACGAAAATCGGTAAGCGGGTTTTTAAGCGGTATGTGAGGCAAAATTTTTGCAATTAAAGTAAGCGGTATGCGAAATAATCGCTATGTGATGCCATCGTTATGCGGGGGTCCACTGTAATTTAATCTGCGGGGATTCAGGAAAGCCAGTTAGCTGGACTCGAGTCCTGGAGGTGGGAAGTACTGTGCCTGCACTCTGAAGGTGTGGGGATATTTGCAGCTTTGAACTGTAGTATTGGTGCCCCTCTGGAAGACAGTGATGGAGTGAGTGATGGTGAAAGTATTTCTCCTTTTTTTTGGATCACCCTTCCTCGGTCGGAGATGGCTGGTTTGTTGAAAATAAAATCATTACTGATTTCTTTGCATGTACTTAACCCTTTGAGGGTCGACAGGCCCTCTCCGAAACTCGTTCTCAGGGTCGGCCAAATTTAAAAAAAAAAAAAATTATTTTCTCTTATGAAAAGATAGAGAATCTTTTCCCGATCATAAAGACACCAAAAGTTTGAAATTTGATAGAAAACTTACGGAATTATGCTCTCGCAAAGTTAGCGGTCTCGGCGATGTTTACGCATCGGCGATTTTGCCCACTTTGAGCCCCATTTTCGGCCAATTTCACTGTACTAGTCGACAAAAAACATGAATATTTCGCTAGAACTCCATTTTTTCTATCGAATGGGTGCAAGAAACCACCCATTTATGAAATTCAACTATCCAGTACAGTGGTCAGAATTTAGCAATTTTGCCAATTTCACACAAATTTCAAAAGATGCCAATTTCCGAATAGGGTCCAGAATAAACAAGAAAGACATTCCTGGCACTAAAATGACATTTCCTCTAGTCATTAGTCACGTCTCAAGGCCCCTCTTATATTCTTTTGCTTTTCACTTTGAATTTTTATTCTCACAAAAAATATAAGATTTACTGTTATGCAGACTACTGCATTAGTGTAAAAAATGGTATAAATATTATTGATGCACTTGTGAAAGAATATTAGACTCACCAGTTGACGTGTATTGCACGCTTGGCACGATTTGTTTACTTTTGAAGTTTGGTAAAAATCGAACATTTCTGCTACTTTGAGCTCAATTTCAAGGCACCTTTTTATTGTAAAACCAGTCAAAATCATCTCAATTTCTGTAATATGTCTTCCATTCTATAAAATGAGATCAAGAAAACTAGAATACAACAATAAATACCATACGAAAATACACTGCAAAGTCGCTGATTTATTCCAAAAAAATGGTCAAAGTTTTTTTTTTCTCATTATGCACTGTGTGCTGCAGGATTTTTTTTAGACTGTGCACACTGACCACATAGACCCATTCTTTCATATGAAGGCCTACCAGCTTTCTCCCACTAGATTTGAGGCCACTAGAATTTATGCGTACTAGTACATCAAAAACCCCTACGCGTAAGACGTACTAGTACGACCAAAACCCTCAAAGGGTTAAGGCTATCTTAAAGTTATGTAATATTGCACGTGGCTAAATAATTTTCTGGTGATAATTTTAAGTTATTTTGTTAAGATCATTTTCTAAGAGGGCTTAATTATTATTATTACATGATTTATCATTTTCAGTAGGCCTGTATGCACCTTTCACTTAATTTTTGGGGCAGTAGGAGAGGTGGTAAAACAATATTTCTCTGAGATATTGTATTCAGTGCTGGTTGGCAAGACCCCACTGGTGAGCCAGTGTAATTTTATAGCTTAAATAGGAGTAATTCCTGCAAAATGCTCTCCATTTTCTTATCTCCATCACATATGCTTTTATGTTAAAAGTCATTGCGTATCCATTTTTTACAGCATTTGCTCAGTTTGTCTGAGTCTTGCAAGTTTTTACACTTGATTTTTAGCTAGCTTAAAATCTTTCTGATCATTTGAAACAGTTTTATATGTTTTCATATTTTTTCTGACATTGATATAAATTATAAACATTATAGAAGTACTTTGTGGTACTCCACTGGTGGCATTGCCCAGTGACATTTTCCATCACTTTTCTTATTTTACTTTAATACAGAAAAGTTTTTCAGCCACTTTTTTTAAATTATAATTTTTCCTTTTTAAATGTAAAATTTAATAAGATATGACACAGGCAAGGTATGATCTATTAAGTTTAGGTAGGGGATGTGTGGGGTAGGGTAGGTAAGGGATGTGTAGACCAGGTGTTTACCTTGAACCATAGTGAGCAATATTTAGATAAAGGTAGGGAAGTTTTCATTGCATTTATGGATTTAGAAAAGGCAATGATAAGGTGGATGTGAGAACAGTGTGGCATATGTTGCAAGTGTATGGAATAAGTATTAGGTTAATAAATGCTGTAAACAAGTTTTTATGAGGATAGGCCCTCCTTAGGGTGTGTAGGAGGGAGGAAGATTACTTTCCAGTAAAAGTAGGCTTTACACAGGGACATGTAATGTCACCATGGTTGTTTAACATATTTATTGATGGGGTTGTCAAAAAAGTAAATTCTAGGGTGTTGAGGAAAGGGGTAGGATTAAATTATGGGGAATCAAATGCAAAATGGGAGTTTATAGAGTTACTTTTTGCTGCTGGTACTATGCTTTTGGGAGATTCTAGAGAGAAGTTGCAAAGGTTAATGGACGAGTTTGGGAGGGTGTGTAAAGGAAGAAAGTTGAAGGTGAACATAGATAAGAGTAAGGTGATGAGGGTATCAAATGAGTTAGGTAAAGAAAAATTGGGTATCACGTTGGAGGGAGGAAGTATGGAAGAAGTGAATGTGTTCAGATATTTGTGAGGGTATTTTGCACTGCCTGCCCAGTCTTTTACTTTCGTAGGGAGTGATTTCTGTGTGCAGATTCAGGAACATTCCTTCTAGGATTTTCCAAGTGTAGATTATGATATATCTCACCTGTGTTTCAGCTAGTACAAGTCAAGTGCTTCCAAGTGTTTCCAGTAGCTGAGGTGTTTGATGAAACTTATATGTGCAGTAAAAGTTCTCTGTACACTCTCTAGATTGGCAATTTCACCTGCAGTATTCCAACCTAGAGTCAACGAGTGATTTGGAAAGGGTCATCATTGGCTTGGCATCCCTTGTTTTGAATGTTCTCAATATCCATCCTATCATTTTTTTGCAGTTGTGATTGTGGCACTGTTGTGATCCTCGAAAGTGAGATCCTCAAACATTACCACTCCCAGGTCCCTCACATTATTTTTCCGCTCTATTGTATGATCAGAGTTTATAGTATACTCAGTTGTAATTATTATCTCCTCCAGTTTTCCATAACGTAGTACTAGTTGAAATTTGTCTTCATTGAACATCACATTGTTTTCCGTTGCCCATTGGAAACGTGGTTTATATCTTCTTGGAGGCAAACTGTGTCCTCTATAGACGACAGTCTCGTGCAGATCCTAGTATTGTCTGCTAAGGATGACACTGTGCTGTGGATTACATCTCTGTCTATGTCTGATATGAGGATGAGGAACAGGATGGGGGCATGTACTGTGCCTTGTGGAACAGTGCTTTACACTATGGCAGCTTCTGATTTAACTCTGTTTACCACTACTCTCTGTATTTGATTTGTTAGAAAGTTGAAGAGTCATCTCCCCACTTTGCCAGTTATTCCTTTGGCACATATTTTGTGCACTATTACGCCATGATCACATTTGTCAAAGGCTTTTGCAAAGTCTGTGTATATTACATATGCGTTCTGTTTTTCTTCTAGTGCATCCAAGACCATATCATAGTGATCCAGTAGTTGCAAGAGGCAGAAGCAACCTGCTCTGGACCTATGCTGCCCTGGATTGTGCAGATTTTGGGAATCCAGGTGGTTTGCAGTCGCACTTCTTAGCACTCTTAAGATTTTTGTGATGTAGGATGTTTGAGCTATTGGTCTATAGTTCTTAGCTAATGCTCTGCTGTCACCTTTATGGAGTGGGACTATATCTGTTGTTTTTATTGACTGTAGAATTTCACCCATGTCTAAGCTCCTTCTCCATAGTATACTTAGGGCATGCAAAAGGGGTTTCTTGCAGTTCTTAATGAACACAGAGTTCCATGAGTCTGGGCCTGGGGCTGAGTGCATGGGCATGTTGTCAATGGCTTTCTCATTGTCTATCAGAGTTAGGGTAATGTTGGAAATCTGGCATACATTGATGAAGTTTTGAGGCTCATTCATGAAAAAATCATTTGGATTGTCGATCTTTAGACTGATTAATGACTCGCTAAATAGAATCATATTAGGATTTTAGTATCTCTCTCATTTCTTGGTTGTCATTTTGTGTAAGTCCCATCTGTTTGAGCAAGGGCCCGATACTAGATGTGGTATGTGCCTTGTTTTAACCACTCTTTAATTCTTCTTTAATACTCTGTTACAGTTGTTGGAAACCATTATTTAATTTAAAAAATATATACAAGTAGAGGTATTACATTTTATTTAAAAAATTTTATTGTTTTTCATGTATGACAGATTGTGCCATGGATAGTGGGAGCACATTTTTGGACAGGGGCCCATGAACGCCGCTATGAGCAAATCATCACCTCCATAGCCTCTCTTTGTGGCTTGGCTTCTTACATCTCCAATACTCTTACAACGATGAAGGAATCAAAACCCAGGACAGTAAGTAAATTATCATTTTTGGATTATGCATGAATTGGTTTTATATATTGTCTTAAATTTTTTTTTATCTGCAATTTATGCATAATTACAGTAAATGCCCACTTAACTAGAAATTCCTTACCTTGATTAATTGTCTAGAAATTTGAATTTTCATTCTAAATATGTACAGGGGACCTTCTGATATCGGCCATTCCAGATATTGGCCAAATTGGATTTCGGTCGCTTTTTTGGCTGAAATTCTATCCTGGATTTCGGTTGGCAACTCGAAAATCAGCCGTATTGGATGCGTCCGCCCGCTCGCTGTGTGCTTGAATCAGTCTGGCTGTCGCTCACGGTGAGTGAGCAAGACTCCGTGCATTCATCCAAACATTTCATTATAATCCATTGTTTTTTGTGGTTGTTTATTAAGTGCAACTGTGAAAACAGGAAATAAGCCACCATGGACCCAAAGAAAGCTCCTAGTGCCAGCCCTTTGGTAAAGAAAGTGAGAAACATGATAGAATTCAAGAAAGAAATTGTAGAAAAGTACAAGAGTGGTGTATGTGTCCTGGACACTAGACACTGGACACTGAAAAAGTACAGGAAGACATAAACAGGGTTTTCCAGTGGGCAGTGGAAAACAACATGACGTTCAGTGATAAGTTCCAACTGCTTAGGTATGGAAAGAATGAAGAACTCAAAAGGAGCACTGTATACAAAACTCAAGAGGGTCACCAAATAGAATGTAAGGAACACGTAAAAGACCTAGGAATAATTATGTCAGCGGACCTTTCTTTTAAAGACCATAACAAGACAAAGATCACGACAGCCAGGAAGATGACTGGGTGGGTATTGAGAACTTTCAAAACAATGGAAACAATGCCAATGGTGACACTCTTCAAATAGCTAGTGCTCCCTCATTTAGAATATTGCTCAGTGATGATGGCCCCGTTCAGGGCAGGAGAAATATCCGAGCTGGAACAAATACAGAGATTGTTTACGGCTCACATTGAACCAGTAAAGCACCTAAACTACTGGGAACGCCTGTAAGTCTTGAACATGTACTCATTGGAGCGGAGGAGAGAGAGGTACATGATAATATATACCTGGAAGGTACTCGAGGGCTTGGTCCCAAATCTTCACACTATGAGAGATATGGGAGGAAGTGTAAAATAAACCCAGTGAGGAGCAGGGGTGCGATGGCGACAATAAGGGAACACTGTATCAACATCTTACCAGAAGATATCAGAAACACTGCTGGAACAAGTGTTGAAGCCTTCAAGAGGAAACTAGACAAGTATCTTCACCAGGAGAAAAAATTCCCCCCCCTTCCCAGTACCAACAATACCACCAGTCCGATGACATTCTTCTTTGCAAATATACAGGGTCTAAAGCCAGCAACAAACAACAAAATACCTTTCATCCGTGGACTACTTGCAGAGGCAAAGGCAATGTTCGCGGCTTTCACTGAGACCCACATAAAGGATCACTTGGACAACGAAATATAGATCCCAGGTTACAACCTATACAGATGTGACAGAGTGAACAGGCAAAAGGGGGGGGGGGGGGGTTTGGCCTGTACATTGCAGAGTCACTTGTTTGCACAGAACTGCTAAATGCCTCAAATGATGTAGTGGAAGTTTTAGCAGTAAAGGTCGAGAACCAAAACCTAGTCATTGTGGTAGTCTACAAGCCTCCGGATGCAACATCCCAGCAATTCCAGGAACAGCTGTTAAAAATTGACCCCTGTCTGGAAAATCTTCCAGCTCCTGCACCCAACATCTTGCTCCTGGGGGATTTCAACGTAAGGCACCTAAAATGGAGGAATATAGCAAATAATATTGTTGCAGTAATAACACCAGGAGGCAGCTCTGATGAAAACTCACACTCACACGAGCTTTTAAATCTCTGCACAAAATTCAATTTAAACCAGCAAATAATAGAGCCTACTAGACTGGAGAATACACTAGACCTCATCTTCACTAACAATGATGATCTGATAAGAAATGTCACCATATCAAAAACAATATACTCAGATCACAACATAATTGAGGTTCAGACATGTATGCGCGGAGCCCCAGACCGACATAATGAGATTAGTCATGAGGGAGCATTCACCAAATTCAACTTCAGTAACAAAAACATAAAGTGGGACCAAGTAAACCAAGTCCTAACCGATATAAGCTGGGAAGATATACTAAGCAACACAGACCCCAACGTATGCCTAGAACAGATTAACTTGGTGGCACTCGATGTATGCACAAGGCTTATTCCTCTAAGAAAAAGGAGGAGTAGATGTAAAATGGAAAGAGACAGGCGCTCCCTTTACAGGCGACGGAAAAGAATAACAGAGCGGCTAAAAGAGGTCAATATATCTGAAATGCGTAGGGAGACACTGGTCAGAGAAATAGCAAGCATCGAACTCAAGCTAAAGGAATCTTATAAGAGTCAGGAATCACGGGAAGAACTAAAAGCCATAAATGAAATCGAAAGAAACCCAAAGTATTTCTTCTCCTATGCCAAATCAAAGTCGAGAACAACGTCCAGTATTGGGCCCCTACTTAAACAAGATGGGTCCTACACAGATGACAGCAAGGAAATGAGTGAGCTACTCAAGTCTCAATATGACTCGGTTTTTAGCAAGCCGCTAACCAGACTGAGAGTCGAAGATCAAAATGAATTTTTTATGAGAGAGCCACAAAATTTGGTTAACACAAGCCTATCCGATGTTATCCTGACGCCAAATGACTTTGAACAGGCGATAAATGACATGCCCATGCACTCTGCCCCAGGGCCAGACTCATGGTACTCCGTGTTCATCAAGAACTGCAAGAAGCCCCTATCATGAGCCTTTTCCATCCTATGGAGAGGGAGCATGGACACGGGGGTTGTCCCACAGTTACTAAAAACAACAGACATAGCCCCAGTCCACAAAGGGGGCAGTAAAGCAACAGCAAAGAACTACAGACCGATAGCACTAACATCCCATATCATAAAAATCTTTGAAAGGGTCCTAAGAAGCAAGATCACCGCTCATCTAGAAACCCATCAGTTACACAACCCAGGGCAACATGGGTTTAGAACAGGTCGCTCCTGTCTGTCTCAACTATTGGATCACTACGACAAAGGCCTAAATGCACTAGAAGATAAAAAGAATGCAGATGTAATATATACAGACTTTGCAAAAGCCTTCGACAAGTGTGACCATGGCGTAATAGCGCACAAAATGCGTGCTAAAGGAATAACAGGAAAAGTCGGTCGATGGATCTACAATTTCCTCACTAACAGAACACAGAGAATAGTCGTCAACAGAGTAAAGTCCGAGGCAGCTACGGTGAAAAGCTCTGTTCCACAAGGCACAGTACTCGCTCCCATCTTGTTCCTCATCCTCATATCCGACATAGACAAGGATGTCAGCCACAGCACCGTGTCTTCCTTTGCAGATGACACCCGAATCTGCATGACAGTGTCTTCCATTGCAGACACTGCAAGGCTGCAGGCGGACATCAACCGAATCTTTCAGTGGGCTGCAGAAAACAATATGAAGTTCAACGATGAGAAATTTCAATTACTCAGATATGGTAAACACGAGGAAATTAAATCTTCATCAGAGTACAAAACAAATTCTGGCCACAAAATAGAGCGAAACACCAACGTCAAAGACCTGGGAGTGATCATGTCGGAGGATCTCACCTTCAAGGACCATAACATTGTATCAATCGCATCTGCTAGAAAAATGACAGGATGGATAATGAGAACCTTCAAAACTAGGGAGGCCAAGCCCATGATGACACTCTTCAGGTCACTTGTTCTACCTAGGCTGGAATATTGCTGTACACTAACAGCACCTTTCAAGGCAGGTGAAATTTCTGACCTAGAAAATGTACAGAGAACCTTCACGGCGCGCATAACGGAGATAAAACACCTCAATTACTGGGAGCGCTTGAGGTTCCTGAACCTGTATTCCCTGGAACGCAGGCGGGAGAGATACATGATTATATACACCTGGAAAATCCTAGAGGGACTAGTACCGAACTTGCACACGAAAATCACTCACTACGAAAGCAAAAGACTTGGCAGACGATGCAACATCCCCCCAATGAAGAGCATGGGTGTCACTAGCACGTTAAGAGACCATACAATAAGTGTCAGGGGCCCGAGACTGTTCAACTGCCTCCCAGCATACATAAGGGGGATTACCAACAGACCCCTGGCAGTCTTCAAGCTGGCACTGGACAAGCACCTAAAGTCGGTTCCTGACCAGCCGGGCTGTGGCTCGTACGTTGGTTTGCGTGCAGCCAGCAGCAACAGCCTGGTTGATCAGGCTCTGATCCACCAGGAGGCCTGGTCACAGACCGGGCCGCGGGGGCGTTGACCCCCGGAACTCTCTCCAGGTCAACTCCAGGTGCCAGATCAACCAGTCTGTGATGGCTATGTGGGGCAGCGGGCCTCCAGCAGCAACAGCCTGGTTGACCAGGCGAGCACGAGATGAGCCTGGTCCATGGCCAGGCTCAGAGTAGATATACTCTCGAAATTCTTCAAAGGTATATCAAAGGTATATGGAGCTTGCCAGGATGTGTGGCAAATCCAAATCAACAATCACTTCCATCCTGGCAAAGAAATTGGAAAATCAAGGAAGCTAATGTTGCAAAAGGGGTAAATATGCTAACGAAACAAAGATCACCAATAATCGAAGATGTGGAGAAGTTATTGTTGGTGTGGATCAACGATAAACAATTAGCAAGAGATAGTGTTGTTGAATCAATCATTTGTGAAAAGGCAAGGCAGTTACATGCGGATTTCGTGAATAAAATGCCTGGTATGAGTGCTGCTGTTAGTGAATTTAAGGCTAGCAAAGGCTGGTTTGAGAGATTTAAGAAGTGTAGTGGCATACACAGTGTTGTAAGGTATGGTGAGGCTACAAGTTCAGACAAATGTGTGGATGAAGAATTTGTGTATGAATTTAAGGAGTACATAGGGGCTGAAGGATTCCTTTCCCAGCAAGTGTTCAGTTGTGATGAAACAGGCCTCTTTTGGAAGAAAATCCCAAGGAGGACCTACATCACACAGGAGAAGAAGGCACTGCCAGGACACAAGCCTATGAAGGATAGGCTTACTCTTTTGTTCTGTGGCAATGCTAGTGGGGATTTCAAAGTGAAGCTTTTACTGGTGTATCACTCTGAAAATCCCAGAGTCTTCAAGAAAAACAATGTCGTCAAGAGTAAATTGAGTGTGTTGTGCAAAGCTAATAATAAGGCATGGGCCACAAGGCAAATTTTCATTAACTGGGTCCATGAAATGTTTGGCCTGAGTGTGAAAAAATACCTTCAGGAAAATAAATTGCCACTCAAGTGCCTTCTGGTGCTGGACAATGCTCCTGCTCATCCTCCAAACTTGGTAGACCAATTGTCTGTGGAGTTAAGTTTTATAACAGTGAAGTTCTTGCCTCCTAATACCACTCCTCTCATCTAGCCCATGGACCAGCAGGTCATTTCTAACTTCAAAAAACTCTTACACGAAAGCAATGTTTCAGAGGTGCTTTGAAGTGACCTCGGACACTGACTTGACCCTAAGAGAGTTCTGGAGGAATCACTTCAATATCTTCCTTTGCATAAGCCTTATTGGTACGGCTTGGCATGGAGTGACTTCCAGGACTTTGAACTCTGCTTGGAGAAAATTGTGGCCTGAATGTGTCCTCGACAAGGATTTTGAAGGGTTTGAGGCTGACTCTGACAACCCTATGACTGTTGTGGAATCTATTGTGTCTTTGGGGAAATCCATGGGGTTGGATGTGAGTGGCCAGGATATGGAAGAGTTGGTGGAGGACCACAAGGAAGAGCTGACCACTGAAGAACTGCAAGACCTTCAACTGCAACAGCAACAGATCGCAGCTGAGGAAATTGCTTCAGAGGAGGAGGAGGAAGAGAGAGGGGAGAATGTGCCTTCTTCAGTGATTAAGGACATGTGTGCAAAGTGGAGTGAGTTGCAAAGTTTTGTGGAGAAATATCACCCTGACCAAACTCAAATAAGCCATATCTGCAACATGTTCAATGACAAAACCTTGTCCAACTTCAGGCAAATCTTAGAGACTCCAGAAACAGACCTCTCTGGACAGTTTTTTTGTGTGACAGGGGTTTACCTGGAGTTACCTGGAGAGGGTTTCGGGGGTCAACGCCCCTGCGTCCCGGTCTGAGACCAGGCCTCATGGTGGATCAGTCTGATTAACGAGGCTGTTACTGCTGGCTACACGCAAGCTGACGTACGAACCACAGCCCGGTTGGTCAGGTACTGACTTTAGGTGGCTGTCTAGTGCCTTCTTGAAGACAGCTAGGGGTCTATTGGTAATCCCCCTTATGTATGCTGGGAGGCAATTGAGCAGTCTTAGGCCCCGGACACTCATTGTGTTGTCTCTCAGTGTACTCGTGGTGCCCCTGCTTTTTATCGGGGGAATGTTGCATCTCCTGCTGAGTCTTTTGCTTTCATATGGAGTGATTTCATGTGCAGGTTTGGTATAAATTCCTCCAGGACCTTCCAAGTGTATATTATCATGTATCTCTCTCGCCTGCTGCGTTCGAGGGAATACAGATCAAGGACCTTCAACCGTTCCCAGTAGTTTAGGTGCCTTATCACACGTGTGCTGTGAAAGGTCTTTGTACACTCTCCATGTCTGCAATGTCTCAGCCTTGAAGGGGGCCATTAGTGTACAGCAGTATTCCAGCCTAGAGAGCACAAGCGATTTGAAGAGAATCATCATGGGCTTGGTGTCCCTAGTTTTGAAGGTTCTTATTATCCATCTTATCATTTTCCTAGCAGATGAGGTAGATATATTGTTGTGGTCTTTGAAGGTGAGATCCTCTGACATTATCACTCCCAGGTCCTTCACATTACTTTTCTGCTCTATTATATGGTTAGAGTTTGTGGTATACCCTTACACATTTTTAATTTATTCATGTTTTCCATATCTGAGTAGTTGAAATTTCTCCTTGTTGAACTTCATATTGTTTTAAGCGGCTCATTCGAAGATTTGGTTGATGTCCGCAGTGACTCAAGCTGGTATTAGTGTCAGTAAAAGACAAAGAAGGGACGTAACCTCAGTGAGAGCTTTGATACCTGAAGTCTTTATGGAGGGGGATTTCCCTTCCAGACAATGAACTCTCCTCCCTCTCCCCTCCTTGCCTTCTTCCATATGCCAACAATAGTCTTCAATAAAGTATGTAATGTTCATTTATTATTAAAATTAGTGCTTTATATTTCTTTCTCCTTGTTTTGTGTATGTAAAACTATAGTTAATCTTTAAAAAATGTATTTTTTGTTAATATTTTTCAGTGTCTGGAATGGATTACTTGTATTTACGTTAATTCTTACGGGAAATATTATTTTGGTTTTTGGCTTTTTTTGATTTACGCCGACCTTCTGAAACGGATTATGGCCGATAACTGAGGGTCCACTGTTTGTATTGAATTAAATTTGAGCTCTTTTGTGCAACAAGTTATTTGTGAGTTTTTTTTTAACTCACCTTTCATGCAAAACAGATACACAGCCACAAAACAAAGCTTCATAAATTTCATTAAATCTAACTCCTCTTGAATATTTTCTGTTGTTCTTAATGCTGGTGAGGGACTTTGGTCCAAGAAATCAGACTTGTCTTTTGCTTCCTTGGATCTAATCTGATGCCCTCCCCCATTCCCCATGTGTTGTATGTCCCCTTTAGGTTAAGCATTTTCTTCTAAATATTTGATATGTGCATCTGCCAGCATGGCATTACCTTCTGCATGGATTACATGCTACATAAATAGCATCTGTTTTTTTTAATGTCCTTTAATTTTGCATTTACTCAAATTACAGGTGTTATAATAGCTAAAATGTTTGTTGTTTTTGGAATTTTAAATATCCAGATAATTGGTGAGCATACAGAGTAGTATATGGCTTTGGTCTCTTGCCTTCCTCATATAAGGTACTGTTCTGTATTTTAAGAAAAGATCTTGTACCAGAGAATGTCCTTCAAAATTGTTTGAGAAGCATTTATGAGTATTGTTTTGAGAAAATAGGGTCATGAAATTATTTTTAAGGGCACAAAGAAGTGTCATATGCATAATGTCACCCTAATGTGACCAGATAAGCTAATAATGAATTTGACACTAAGTTTAGTGAATTGGTTGGAACATATATTTTCTGAGGGTAATATGAATGGTTCTAGACATGTTATGCAAGGCTTCTTATTATTTACAGCAATTATTGGAAATCCTGGAACTAGACAGGTTGTGTCAAGTTAAAGCTTCAAGCTTGAACTTGACACAACAAGCAACCAAGAGTGATGGACTATTCAACCTGGTCATTAACCAGAAACCAGGTGTCATCAAGGCCATCAGAATGGTAACTGTACAGTGTCTGGTGTACTTGTTTGGGCAGCCATTCGTGGAGGAAATGCTGTACTATTTCCATGATAGTATTTAGTGGAGAGACTGGCAAGCTCTAGGTGTATGAGCTGATTAATTAAGAGAGTCAGTTGAGTATACACACAAAATCCTCTACATACTCGCCTTTCCTTCAGAGTGCAGGTGCTGTACTTCCCAATTCCATGACTGAAATCCAGGTAACTGATTTCCCTGAAACCCTTCATAAATGCTACCTTGCTCACACTCCAACAGCAGGTTAAGCCCTTAAAACCACTTGTCTTCACTCAACCCTGCTGTGAATGCTCAAGCCTCTACCACTTAAAACCTCTTTCACCCCCTTCCTTCACTCTTTCCTGGTACGACTCCTACCCTTCCTTCACTCCACCCAAGATTTATGTTAGAATAAAAGACTCATGTTTTTTTGTATTTTTTTTAACAGGTGGCCATTTCCCATTGAGGCAGGGTGACCCAAAAATAAAGAAAAACCCAAGAAGAAAGAAAAAACTTTCATCATCATTTAACATTTTCACCATCACTCACACATAATCACTGTCTTTGCAGAGGCACTCAGACATGAGTCATCTCTTTCTTATCATTTGCACTACAACCACGAGAAAAACAATGTATTTGTTTAATGACGTTAATCATAGAATTGATGAAGGAGAAAAGGTGAGTGGTGAGTTGAGGTATATGTGGAGACAAAAAACATCTATGGAGGCAAAGAAGGGAATGTATGAAAGTATAGTAGTACCAACACTCTTATATGGGTGTTAAGCTTGGGTTGTGAATGCAGCAGCGAGGAGGCGGTTGGAGGCAGTGGAGATGTCCTGTCTAAGGGCAATGTGTGGTGTAAATATTATGTAGAAAATTCGGAGTGTGGAAATTAGGAGAAGGTGTGGAGTTAATAAAAGTATTAGTCAGAGGGCTGAAGAGGGGTTGTTCAGGTGGTTTGGTCATTAGAGAGAATGGATCAAAGTAGAATAACATGGAGAGCATTTAAATCTGTAGGAGAAGGAAGGCGGGGTAGGGGCCATCCTCAAAAAGGTTGGAAGGAAGGGGTAAGGGAGGTTTTGTGGGCGAGGGGCTTGGACTTCCAGCAGGCATGCTTGAGCGTGTTCGATAGGAGTGAATAGAGATGAATGGTATTTGGGACCTGATGATCTGTTGGAGTGTGAGCAGGGTAATATTTAGTGAAGGGATTCAGGGAAACCGGTTATTTTTATATGGCCGGACTTGAGTCCTTGAAATGGGAAGTACAATGCCTGCACTCTAAAGGAGAGGTTCGGGATATTAGCAGTTTGGAGGGATATGTTGTGTATCTTTTTACGTATATGCTTCTAAACTGTTGTGTTCTGAGCACCTCTGCAAAAACAGTGATTATGTGTGAGTGAGGTGAAAGTGTTGAATGATGATGAAAGTATTTTCTTTTTGGGGATTTTCTTTCTTTTTGGGTCACTCTGCCTCAGTGGGAGACGGCCGACTTGTTAAAAAAAAATAAATAAATATAAAATTACAAATATTTTAATAAAGTATTTTTCTTCCAGTATTTTGTGATGGTAACAGGCAGTTTGCTTCTGTGTGCATGGGTTGGAAACACAATCAACAACTTGCTTCTTACATACCTTATTGGTGAGTATTGCTGGCATTGTTTATTGAGCCGTTAATTTTATAATTTATTAGAAATACAAAATTACTTTTGTTCTGAATTGGGCTTAACCCTTTGACTGTTTTGGTCGTATATGTACGTCTTACGAGCCAGTGTTTCGGACATATTAATACGCATAAATTCTAGCGGCTTCAAATCAGGCAAGAGAAAGCTGGTAGGCCCACATGTGTGAGAATGGGTCTGTGTGGTCAGTGTGCACCACATAAAAAAAATCCTGCAGCATGCAGTGCATAATGAGAAAAAAAAACTGACCATTTTTTTTGGACTAAAACACCGACTTTGAGGTATATTTTCGTATAGTATTTATTGTTGTATTCTCGTTTTCATGGTCTCGCGTTATAAAATGGAAAACATATTACAGAAATAGAGATGATTTTGATTGGTTTCACGATGAAAACGACCTTGAAATTGAGCTCAAAGTAGCGGAAATGTTCGATTTTTACCGATGTTCAGGAGTTAGCAAATCACACCACACGTCCAATACATGTCAACTGGGGAGTCTAATATTCTTTCACTAGTGCACTGATATTATTTATACCATTTTTACAATAATGCAGTAGTCTGCATAACACTAAATTTTGTATTTTTTGTATGAATAAAAAATCAAAATAGAAAGCAATAGTAATGTAAGGGGGGCCTAGAGACGTGTCTAATGAACAGAGGATATGTTATTTTAGTGCCAAGAATGTCTACATTGTTTGTTCTGGACCCTATTTTGAAATTGGCATCTTTTTTAATTTGCGTGAAATTGGCCAAATTGCCAATTTCTGACACTTTATTGGGTAGTTCAAATCGGTAAATGGGCGATTTCCTGTATTCAACTGATAGAAAAAATGGAGTTCTAAAGACATAGCTATGAGTTTGGTCAACTGGAACAACGGAATTGGCCAACAGAAATTGCCGATGCATATATGTCAGAGACTAACTTCGCAGGAGCGTAATTCCGTGAGTTTTTGACCAAATTTCGTACTTTTGGTGTCATTACCATCGGGAAAAGATTCTCTTATCATTTCACAAGAATTTTTTTTTTTTTTTTTCCAAAAATTTTGCGACATGGAATGACAGTTTCAGAAAGGGGCTTGCGACAGTCAAAGGGTTAAAGCAAATTTCCTTTAACCCTTTAACTGTCATGACCCCTAAATTAAGTGCTGACAGTATTTTGATTTATAAAAATAATAATAGTAATATATACTGATATGGTAGAGTATTTTTCTGAAGCCAGTGATACCAAAAAAATGTAAAATTTGACAGAAAACTTGAGGAATTATATGAATTTTGCTTTTTGGGTGCATTTTGCACATTTGTAATTTTCTGGTGTACAGTGGTACCTTGACTTACAAGTTTAATTCATTCCATGACCAAGCTCGTAACTCAATTTGCTTGTCTATCAAATAAATTTTCATCATTGAAAGCAATTGAAATACCATTAATCCGTTCCAGCCCCCCAAAAGTCACCCAATTTTTCTTTGTTACAATTTTTTAAATAAGAGAAATTTATTTATAAATAAGAAATGATTTTTGCCTTTCTTGCCAGGCCCCAGCAATGTTTTAGAAGTGCTGGAGTATATATGAAACTCCTTGAAGCATGGTGTAAGATGAATGTCACTCCACTGCTGACAGTGGAGTGACATTTGATGACCATGCACTGCCTTGGCTTTATTTTTCACTACTACACACAAACATGTCTGTCTATCTGTTTTTCTCTCTATCTGTTTCTAACTATTTGTCTGTCTCTGTCTAGCTCTATGTTTATCTCTCTCTGCTTATCTGCCTTTCTGTCTGCCTGTGTTTCTGTCTTCCTGTGTCTCTATTTGTCTGTCTCAGAGAGCTGCTCATGACTCGACAGGTATTACACATGATGCACAGTCGTCATGTCTGATTCCTGAACAAGTGAAAATGTTTATTTCCCTTGCCAGTCATCCCTTATTATGCCATTATTTAAAAAGCATAGTATAGCACTTTGTCTGGTTTTTTTGGGTTGTCCAGGAATTTGCACTATGTATAATTTTTTTTTATTTTGTACCTGTGGGGATAAAAGAAAAAGACAGAGATTTGATATAGCCAAAACAGAAAAGGGGGAAAGAGACAGCCAAAGGGAAATCAGGCCCGACTAGCCCGCTGGCTTGCCGGGGCCCAACCCCGCCAAAACCCACCAGCACATCCTTTCACAAGTTCCCGAATTTTTTCTCTTTAAATTAAAGGGATATGTTATAGAACATTCTGGGAGGTTTAAAAAATTTCCAGTGGTAACAAAATTTGGGAAAAGGGTGTTACACATTGGTTTTTTTTCGAGGGTTTTTGGGTTTTTTTTCCCCCTTTTGGGACTCCGCGAGTGGCGGCGTAAAACTGAAGCTCGCTCATAAATTGGATTTTGGGTTGCAACCCGAAACAAAAAAATCAAATGACAACGGCCATAACTCGGGAAAAATTTGTAAATTTGGGGCACTCGAGTCAAGGTACCACTGTATTTTAGGCTACTCCCTTTTCAAATTGAGCTAATTTTTAAACTTTTTTCTTGTTTTGCCTTTTGGGTTTTTTAAATAAGGGACTATCAGGACTACTCTTTAAAAACCCTTTGACTTTGATTTAGGCCCCCTCTGAAAAATTTTCATTTTAAATTTTGCCAAAAAATTCGAAAAAAAAAAATTATTTTTTCTTAAAGAAAAAAGTTAGGAATATTTTTTTTGAGTGTTTTTAAACCCAATTTAAAAAAATTTTTTCCTTTTAGTACTTTCCGAGAAAATAGGGGCCGCAAAGTTTGCAGAAAAATGACGTGCGTTCCCGGGAACCAAAACGGCGACTGCCGCCCCCCCGGGATTCTTTTATTAAACCCAAAAAAAAGGTTTCTTGCTTTTTTAATTTTTTTCCCGTTCCAGGGAACTTATGGCCTGTGAGAACCAATTTTAAGGTGCTTTTTTCAAATTTTACCCCTCATTGTTTACAAAAACAATAACAGAAACCCAAACCTTTTTTCATATTTGTTTTTTGTATAAAACTTTTTTTTACAAAAAACAAACAATACAAAAAAAGTTTATTACTATTGTTCCCTAAAATATATACATAGTAAAGGGCACTAAACGTTCCTAGAACTGCTGCCGCTTGTGGGAAAATCTTTGAAACATGGGTATATGCGGGGGACTTCCCCACTCCTCACCTAAAACGAGTGTCTTTTCGTGTTTGTGGGCGTTTTTTTGGGAGGGTTACATTTCATAAACCTCTTCTGACATTTTTCTTGGGAGTAAATAGGGGGCGTTGTAAAGGGGTTGTGATCCCCCAGGCCTGAAACGAGATGACGTGTGGGGGCGTGGTCTAAAATTTCAGGAGTTGCTCCTTGGTACTTTGCAATTATTTGTCTGATTTCTGACAGGCAAAATTCACCATATTTTGGTGTTTTCGTTGGTCTTCAACTTGTATATGTTATAAGCATTTAGCATAGAGATATCAACAAGATGGAAAAAGAGTTTTTATATACCACTTATAACTCTTGCATACACAGTCTGCAAACCCAATCTGCATGTCACATTTGTCCACTAAGTGCATATTGAGGTTGTAGTCCATGACAGCTGCAGGCTTTAGAATGGGTTCATTGGTCTCTCTGTTGTCCCTGCCACTGGGTACCATTTGTTCTGGGGAACTGATGTAAACAATGTGCACCCGTTTGTTTGCCACCGAAATGCATGATTCTTTGGCGCAAAGGCTTGCCCCCCTCCCTCTGGGGTTTCCCAGCGTTCAAACCCTTTGGTATGTTTCCGATTACGTGACTGTGCCACACCGTTGCAAGTCGCTCGCGAAATCATGGAAAGGGGCTTGTGTCCCGTTTTCAGTAAATAACTTTGCCCTTACCAGATTGGTTATCTTGGAAATTCACCGAGATACCTTTAGGGGGTATTTAAAGATTAGGTTTGTGTAACAAGATTTTCCAAAAATAGACCATTCTGCAATACACAGTACAAATGCTTTATACAAAGCTTTCCTCTTGTTGGTTTTATATTGTTTGAATGAGAGTTTTCCCTTTGAATAAAATAAAGGGTCATCAATAACAAGCTTCCTAAAGGGGCAAAAAATACAGCGCACTTTTTTTCAGGTAATAACATTTTTGATTTATATAACCTGTCGCTTCTGTCAGGCCTGGTTTTGTCCTGAAAAAAGTGTAAACATACGTAACAGTATCAGGAAACGATTGGGACACCTTAATGCCCCACTAAAACCTGATTTTGAAAATGGGTTTTCCCGTTTGGTAATGTTTATTACCCCCCCCCCCCCCCCCCCCCCCCCCCCCCCCCCCCCCCCCCCCCCCTTTTTTTTTCCCCCCCCTGACAATGATGTCCACGGGGGTTATCGAAGAATAACTAAAGCAGCCCGTTCATGGCATTGTTCCCAAGTGGACAAGTGGTTTATTCCACTTTGGTTTATTGGGGACGGGGGAACAAATCATCCCCGTCCTGCCAATCCCGATGCGGGGGGGGGGGTTGGTTTTGCCCTGGGGGGTTGTGCGGTTTGGGTTGTGAGGGGGTGTGGGGTTTTTGGGGGGTTGTGAGGTTGTGGTTGGCGGTGTGGTGGTGCGGTTGGGGGGTGGTGCAGGTTGTGGGAGTGTGGGGTAGGGTGAGGCTGGTTGTTGTGCAGATTTGCGCGTGGGTGTGCGTGGCCCGTGGGGTTTGCCACAGGGGCCGTGCCCCCTCACTTCACCACCCCTGCCCCCTCCATACCAAAACTTCATAACCCTCATTTCAATATCGTCATCTTCACTATCAGGGGTGGTTAGGGGCCCCGGGATGTGCTCCCAGAGTTTCTCCTTCCCCTTGGAAATAAAAATGAAACACTACCGACCGCATGCTACGTGTAAATACTCCCCTTCATGGGGAATATTCCTTTACTGTCACTAGAATGCTTTCAATGACCTTGAAATACTTCTCTGCTAAATTTGGGGGTTTTACAGACCAAATTTTCTCTTTGTTGGTACAGGCGAAAGTGAAAAAGCCGGCCCAGCACCCCAGGTGGAAAAGGGTTTTGGGTCATCTGGGTTTTCTCATAAATTACATTATCCCGGGCCTTTTTTCCGGTAAAAACTCACTTCAAAACCTGGAATTCACGTCATGACATTTTCATCGCTGTTGAGCTATCACTTGGGAACAAAAGACCTCCCAAACCGCGAGGAGTGAGGAATTTACCCAGAGGTGGTGAAAATGGACTAAAACATGGCGTTCCCACAATGCACCTGGGTCCCGACTTTTTTCACGGGTTTACACGACCCCTGGACCCCCTTTTCTCTCATGTAGGCTACTAGGCCTTTTCCGTTGATTTAAGCCGCTAGTTTGTGCGTATAAAAACGTCGAAACATTGGCTCGTAAGCGTATTTATACTTTGGAAACAGTCAAAGGGTTAACCCTTTGCTGTCACAACCCCCAAAAACGAGGGTCTCCCTGGGTGTTGAAAAAAATTTTTTAAAAAAAAAAAAAAAAAAAAAAATTTTTGAAATGAAAAAGAAACTTTTCCTTCGGAATTAGCTCTCATGAAGTTAGTGACCCTTTGGGATATTTACGGAAATTTGGGGATTTTGCCATTTGGCCCTATTTTTGGTAATTCCATTGTTCCGTTTACCAAACTCACAGCTTTTCTTTTGAACTCCATTTGTTCTATCGATTGAGTAAAGAAACTGCCCTTTACCGATTTCAATACCCAATAACGTGGTCAGAAATTTTCAAATTTTGGCCAATTTCTGCAAAAAAAAAATATGACAATTTCAAAACAAGGTTCAGAATGAACAATGCAGACATTCCTGGCTCTAAAATAACATTTTCTTTGTTCATCAGTCATGTCTCCAGGCCCCTCTGATATTACTCTTGCTTTCTATTTTGAATTTTTATTCAAACAAAAAACAGAAAATTTACTGTTATGCAGACTACTGCAATATTGTAATAATTGTATAAATAATGTCAGCCCATTCATGACTGCATATTAGAATGGCTAGTTGGACATTTATTGGACAATGACATCATTTGTTTACTTTTGAACATTGGCAAAAATCAAACATTTCCCCTACTTTGAGTTCCATTTCAAGGTTCTTTTCATAGTTAAACCAATCAAAATCACCTCTATTTCTATAATACGTTTTCCATTCTATCAAATGAGACCAAGAAAACGAGAATACAACCATAAATACTATACACCACAAAGTCGGCGTTTTAATCCAAAAACATGGTCGGAGTTTTTTTTTTTTCTCATTATGCACTGTGTGCTGCAGGATTTTTTTTTATATGGTGCACACTGACCACACAGACCCATTCTTTCACATGCGGGTCTACCAGCTTTCTCCTGCTTGATTTGAAGCCACTTGAATTTTTGAGTATATATATGTCAAACACGGTGGCTCGTAAGACGTATACGTATATATGACTGAAACAGTCAAAGGGTTAAAGATCCGGAATTGGCCAATTTTGCACCAGTTCAACAAATTTCAGTTTAAAAATAGAGCCCAAAATAAACACTGTAGGCATTCTTGCTGCTAATACATCCTCTACTTTCCCAGGTTCATTAATCATGTCCTTAGGCCTCCCCTGAGGTACACTTGCCCTCATTAAGATGGGAAATTTGCAAGGTTCTAAGACTTGTGAAGATAACAATAATGATTTAGTTGGAGCTCACATAAATTTAATTGTGCATCACCCAAAGACCTCATAGGTATTGTACTAGTCATGTCCATTATCATCTGCCCTACCCAAGGGATGTTGAATGTGTTTATGATCAACTGAAATGCTCAGATGGTTTCCTGTGCCACAATATTGTGTAATGCCTTTAGATAACTGACAGAAATGAATGCAAATTGCTGAAATAACTTGTTTTTCCTCTTATGTTTTGTAAGAAAGCATTCTAGTTTCTCATTCCTGTGCACTGAACATTTGTTGTACTGTATATAAGCACCCTGTAACTTATGATAAATAAGCTGAAGAACTTAGCACTGTGCATACCTCAATCATCTACATCACCATGAGAAATTTCAAGTTTCTCTAATAAAACATTTTGTGTAGGTTTTGATTCTGCACATCTCTCTGGTTTTCAGTTTATCCTAAACATGCACTTCCCATGTCTGAAGCAGCTTTCATTTACATGTTCCCAAGGAATTTTCTTACAAGTCTGTATGCTCCTCTGGATTTAGCACTTAGTTTTGATTGTAACAATAATTTTCTTAGTAGTATCAGGAAAAAATGACCCTGAAAAATGCTGAAACCTTAAGTTCTGCAGTGTAATGACAAATACAATTTGCAATGAAATTAAAAATAAAAAAGCATTCTATGTTTATTTATATAATTTGTTCATATGAACTCTTCCTTTTTTTTTGTATTGCAGTGTTGGTAATTGTCTTGCTCCCAGGCCTGAAGCACCATGAAATCATACAAAAATATTTGTCAACAGCTCTGAAGACATTTGCTAATTTGATGAAGAGCTCAGTTTCAGCTGTACAAGGAAGTGGTTCTGTCACAGAAGATGCTTCTAAGAAGAGGGGAATGAGGGTTATAATGATAAGTTGGCATTGGCACACCACTGAATTGTGTTCTGAGGTATACATACAAAAATAAGAATTTTTTTTATTTTGTTTAGGTAGTGGATGTTTATTAGTTTGAAATTAATGTACAGTAAAAGATAACTATATAAAGTAATCTTTAAACAGTTGATGGTTCACAGGTAAGCAGTTATGATTCAGTGAGGATATCATCTTTTGCCATGATATTTGCATGTCATAAATATATGTAAAATGACAGACACTAGATGCTAAGATGGAGCATCTCTTTGTATACATTATTTTTATTATTTTATAACAAATTTTTATTTGCTGGTCAAATTATTTACTTTCAAAATGCCAAATCTGTGTATAATTGTGTAGTAGTACATACTTTATACATATTAAATAGTGCACTGGTATTGTACTTTCAACAATGAAGACTCCATATTGGATTTATTACAGATTAAAACATCTCTAAGAATTCAAATTGCATATTATGTTTGCATTCAGAACATTTTTGGAAAATAATTATTTTGAAAAGTTTTGAGATAGTTTTTGTTTGTATATTTAACTGACATCAGCTGTATGCTGATGTCAGTATAAGCTGTATGTTTTGTAATGCTGGTTACAACCCTGAATTAAATGATTACGGGTATCTCATTACGATGACTTGGAAACTACATTACCAAAATGCCCTTGTGCGTTGATGGCCATGTCTGCTTAGGAGAATGAGTTGAGAGTAGTTTACTGGTATTTAACTTGTGAACAGAAATCAAGGTGTTGTTTCCCATTTAACAATAGAACTATTACATCTTTCAGCTGTATTTTTGATAGTGTTGCAATAAATTTGGATTTTACCAAATAAATATACATTATATTTCATTTTCAGTATAATGTTGCTGTATTTTAAATTTGTTGCCAAATAACTTTGATGCCTCTCCTGGGTACAGTAGTATTATTTTAGGTCACCTGTGAGACATTTTACTTTTATGATCAAGTTCCTATTCCATAATTTTGTCTACACTTTTTGATAATTTTTTATTAGATTGCTTTAATGCTTTAGGTAACACTACTTTTTATGTCTAAGTTTTATATAGCACGTTATCTTAGTTACTTCAAATTTGTGTTAGTGAAAATTATTTCTTTAATGTCTGGTATATTACAATTACTCGCACTGAAACTTGTATACGTCATAATGTCCTCAGAGCTCTCCACAGTAAAGCCAAACCCTTAACTGGGAAATTAATTTCACTAGGAGTACATAAAGGGAGACTGAACAAACTTGAGGAACATAAGAGTGTACAAACATGTTTGAGGTTGCTAACCATTTTTATTTTGGTCTTCATTAGATAATGTGCAGCATTCCATTACAAGATAGCTAGAATAGTCTAAAAGAGCTGTCAAATAACATTTCACTAGTCAACATTTTTTACATATTGACATTTCTTAACTTTGTTTATCAAAGAGCTATGTTGTCTTTTGGCATGTATATCAGCCTTGGAAAACAGAAAATTTATTGCTGAATATAGACAAACGGTCAGTCCCTCAGTCTAGAAAAATAAATCTGAGGTGGTCAGTTTCTCAGTCTGGAGAGAATTTTCTTTATTAGAGATCTTGTTTATGGATCAGTGCTTTTAGTTTTATGGAATTTAGAGAGGCTGTGAAGAGCTAACAGGTAACATTGTCTGGATTATGTATTATGTACGTAGTTATGTTTATAAGAGCTTTTATGACATAAATATAATATGCAGTCACAATTTATACTTGTAGCTTTACTCTTTGAGCTACATTTATTGTCCACTGTTATTTTTCGGTACATTAATTTCTTCCTTGGCAGGTCTCTGTAACACCTGTCCATTATAAATCCTCTTTGAAATTTCAATTACTGCTCACAATTTTTGCTGCAGTTTTAAAGCAGCATTCACCAAATATCTGGTCATCAGTCATAGGATGAACTTTCAGTCAAAAAGGATAAATTTGCACCTGGACCAATTAATCAGTAGAGATGGCTCTTGTGGAAAATCTTAGAAAATAATCATGACTGAAGGGTACCAGCAATTTAAATGCTTTTAGAGCTGTAATACTGTACTGTAATGTGATTGGCATGAATATTATTGGTTTAACTTGCCTTAGTTATGGCATGCATGCCAATAATTTGCATGAGTGATACAAAACACAAATACAAAATATATTTCCATTGTTGTAATGAAGTGTTTTTCCTCTTCAAGGGGGGCTCCTTGGTGTGGTGAAGAGGCGCTTGGTCTGAGGAATTAGACCTGTCGGTCTCCTTCCTCAGACCGAACCTAATTACCCCCCAATCCCCCCTTCCCTCTCCCATCCTCCCCTTTTTCCTTTCCTCCTCCTCCTTCCCACCCCTCCCTTTTGCCCTTCCTTTTTGGTCTTTGGGATTTTTTCCCACAGGCACGCTAGTTCCTAGGTAGGGGAAAGGGTACTGGGGTCCATCCCATTCCATTGAGGTTCTTGGCGGTGGCGTAGTTTGCCGTGGAATCTGGATTGCCTGGGGATGTCCCGATCCCTCTCCGGTATCCTGGAGGGTGGCTTTGGGTGTCTTTCGGGCGACGGGTGTATCTCTGGAAGCCACCTTTCGGATTCCGGGGGTGGCCGAGGTAGCTCGGCAGATGTGAGGTTGCTATACCCGGATTGCTGGTTTACTGGCATGATGGGTAGGGTATGGCACGGGTTCCATGCTGCATCTGTGCTACTTGCGGTGCTGAGGTCCTCTTGGGCACGGAGGGAGATTTCTGGCCCTTTCATTCCTCCTAGGAACTATCCCTCCCTGGTCCCCCCTTTTTTTATTCTTTTTTTATTTTTATTTTCTTCTTTCTTTTTTTTTCTTAAAAACAACCATGAACCAGAATTACACACTGCTGTTATCTATCCTATCTCAGGCTATAATTTATTGTATTCTTCAGATCCTTTTCCTGATGGAACCTTTAATGAAAGTGCCCTTCTTCTACGTACTGATATTCCGTACCATCAGCTATTTGTTTGTACTTCGCTGCATTACACAGCAGCCCGTATCCACTTGCATAGGTGGTATACACTCTGTTCTTTGTATCTCTCTCCTTCTCGGGCATTATCTATCCCAGATACTGCCTTTCTTGTTTCGTCATTACCACCACCACTTCTGTTACTTGGCGATTTTAATGCCCATCATTTCCTCTGGGGGGGTCTCACTGTGATTCCCGTGGCATTCAGTTAGAGGCTTTTCTTACTACCCACCCTCTCCATGTTTTAAATACAGGTACTCGCACCCATTTTGATCCTAGGACTCATACTCTCTCTTGCATCGATCTCTCAGTCTGCTCTTCCTCCTCCGCATTAGACTTCACCTGGTCTGTTCTCCCGGATTTACATAACAGCGATCATTTCCCAATCATTCTTACTTCCCCTTCATATTCACCACCTCTTCTTAACCCACGCTGGCAATTTGATCAGGCAAATTGGAACCTTTACTCACAACTAACTGTTTTTAGTGAGGTTCCTTCTTCGTCCTCCATTGATGAGCTTTTACACCTCTTCTCGTCCTCCCTTTTAACCGCAGCTTCTCATTCTATACCCCAAACTTCGGGCAGGCATTCTCAGAAATGCGTGCCTTGGTGATCTCCTGCTTGTGTTCGTGCAGTACGTTTGAAACGCGCTGCGTGGGACAGGTACCGGTACAATAGAACCACGGAGAGACTTCTTGATTTTAAGCAGAAGCGTGCGATCGCTCGCCGTGTCATCCGTGACGCTAAATGCACTTGCTGGCGAGATTATGTCTCCACCATCACCTCTGCTTCCTCTGAGTGCAGTCTGGAAAAAAGTACGAAAACTGAGTGGTAAATATTCTCCTGACCCGGCTCCTGTTCTGCGAGTTGCTGGTGTTGATATAGCAAACCCACTAGATGTTGCCAATGAAAATTGGCAATCATCTGGTCTGTATTTCTCAGGGGCTCCATCTATGCCCCTCGTTTCTTTCCTCAAAGTCTGCCAGAGAGTTAGCACCCTTGGACTTTTCTTCTCTCAGAGAAGAACAGTATAATGTGCCTTTTACACTTCAGGAACTGGAGGCAACACTCTCAGCTTGCCAATCATCGGCAGCTGGGCCCGACGACATTCATATTCGTATGCTACAACATTTACATCAGTCAGCCCTTGCAGTCCTATTATGCCTTTTCAATCTTATTTGGTCACAGGGAGTTCTTCCACAGCTGCGGAAATCTGCCATTGTTCTCCCTTTCCACAAACCGAGTACTACGGGACATGAAGCCTCCCACTATCATCCCATTGCTCTTACCAGTGCAGTTTGCAAAGTGATGGAACGCCTGGTAAATAGACGTTTAGTGTGGTATTTAGAGACACACAACAGTCTCTCCACTAGTCAATATGGCTTTCGTAAGGGCCGTTCTACCTTAGACCCCTTACTACGCTTGGATACGTATGTTCGTAATGCCTTTGCGAATAACCACTCAGTTATTGCCATATTTTTTGACCTTGAGAAGGCATATGACACAACTTGGAGGTATAATATTTTGGCCCAAGCCCACTCCTTAGGCCTTCGAGGCAATCTACCATCCTTCCTTAAGAACTTTTTAACTGACAGACATTTCCGTGTTTGGGTTAATAATGTGCTCTCCCCAGACTTTATCCAAGCTGAAGGTGTCCTCCAGGGATGTGTTCTGAGCACAACACTTTTTCTCCTTGCTATAAATGATTTGGCCTCTAGTCTTCCATCCAATATTTGGTCATCACTCTATGTTGATGACTTTGCTATTGCATGTGCAGGCGCTGACTGTCACCTCATTACAGTTTCTCTCCAACATGTGGTCGACCGTGTTTCCACTTGGGCCACCACGCATGGGTTTAAATTTTCGAGTACCAAAACTCACCAAATTACTTTCACTAGACGCTCTGTCATCTCCGATCATCCTTTGTACCTCTATGGCTCCTGTATCCCTGAACGTGATAGTCAGGTTTCTAGGCCTCCTCTTTGACCGTAGGTTATCCTGGAAACCTCACATTACCTCTCTGAAGGCAACTTGTCACAGCCGGCTG